AGGTTGTGCTACATAAGAAGAACTCTAGGCATAAAACAGTAGTTAATGTCACAGTGATCAAATGGAGCTGTCATTATATGAAATAGCATCGTCAATCTTTCTCTGACAAAAACAATAGGTTTTTGTTTGTGCTTATAACACATATTCTACCAAGACTTTCTGTTTCCTGCAATATAAGAACGATGATCAGCTTTGGAAGAAAGTGGCTTTTGGCTCGGGTAGGTGAGCACAGTGTATATAGTCCATATATATAAGACCCATTTTAGAAGGTTATTATGAGTGAGCTGTAAAGATCGAAAAGTCAGCTAGAGATGGATTTTGAACTCTGGAATCTGACATCTCACTTATATTCATTCTACACTGTCTATGCCATTACTAAGCTTTTATCTTTGACCTTCTTTGGACCTGTGAACTTAATAACAGAGGAGTCTGTACTGAAGCTGAGTTGGGGGAAGAAAAGGGAGAAAAAGGAACTTCCACAGAAAATCTAAAGGGATCAAAATGGCCATTCCTTCCAAGTTACTTGTAGCAACTTGAAGCTTTGTTGTGTTAGTTCTGTTAGTGAAGCTCTGATTTCATTCATAAGAATATTCAAAGGGACATATACTGCTGTTTGAGATATACGGAGGCTGTGTATCCTCTTTATGAGATACGTTGGAAGCAGTATTTATTTCCTGCACACAGCCCTCCCTCGCTGTTTTTCTCATCCCGGCACTCCAGCTCTTCTCAGCAGGGGAGTAATAATGGACACCCACTCCATTAGAAGCCTGTTACCATTTCACTCATGTCTCTGCCATCTATTTATTCTGCTGCTTTTCTCCCTCTCACGCTGTTTGCGCTGTTTTCTCTCTATATTCATGTCAGCTGCCATGGACAGTCAGATCCTCATTCCCCTAAATTGGATAAAAGATTAAGAGAGCTAAGCTTGTTCAGTTTGTGCTACTGTGAAAAATCATAAAGTTTGAACTTTTTTTTTTTCTTTTAATTTTGCTTTTTTCAGAGCTGCTCGCTCATGAGAAATCCTAAAGCATTATAAAGACTTTGTGCATATGGGACCCAGAGATGAATCCAGATTATCAGATCAAGTGGTGTTTCAACAACTAATTATAGGCTCCAGTTCAGGCTCTTACTACTTATTCATGCCAATGCACAGCTCTAGGGTTCAGTAGCTGGAGGATGATGTTGTTATCCTCAGGCAAAAGCCTGCCTCATTTGCATCTAGGAGATTATCGTGCTTATTTGTTTTTCATGTGTTTTTCAAGGAGCCTGTTGTCTTAAGTGATAAATGACTCTAAGTGGTCTTTTTTTTTCCCTCCTCGTGCGCCGAGATCGGAGAACATTTAACGTCATTAAGCCGCCTTCCCATGTGTAACCACAATTTTCAACAATCTGCTCTACATTTTTCACGCCGCGAACAGTAGCAGTAAGTTTATTAATACACAAATCTAACCTTTTCACTGTAATTCATCTGTAGCTGCAAGAAAAAGTTTGAGATTTGTTGAAGTTTTGCATAAATGTTTAAAACATCATGAGAATTTCACTAAAATCCTAAAGCATGAAGTCCATTCAGTTAAAAGACAAATGAAAATAAAGGAATAGTTATTGATTTCTTAAGGAAAATGATAAAAACTATCTCTATAAAGGAAGAAATATAAAAATCTTTGATTTCAGTATCTCATGTGACCCCTCCTCCATTTGCTGCACTAACAGCAACTTGGCATTCTAGGCGATACAGCTCAAGATATTAATTTAGGTGAGTTTAGTGGCATAATCGTGTAACTTCAGGAGTGAATTTGTGATTAACACAAACTGTGAAAGGTTTACCTGACATTTCCATGTTAATTAATGCTGCATTGCCAAACTGCTCCTTGCAGTTTGTTTTCAGGATACCCAACAGAAAAATTGTCTCACAGTGTGTGTAAGCAACACATCAATTTAATGATAAGAACTACAGATGTAATTAGATGCTTTTCTGGACATCACCCACTACTCATTGATGTTTGTGTTGTACAGCCTCCAATGAGCAACTGATTGACACAGCGCTCTTAGAGGATATCAAACGGGTCAGTTTACAAAGTAGACCCAGTCTGAAGAACAATAAAATGTACATTTAACTTCAAGTTGTATTCAATAAGATTTGAAACATGAGACTGAGAGCATTTACAAAGGTCATGAAGAAAAGCAGAAGATTTCAGTGAGTTTCTTCGCCAGCGTTTAGTAGACACCCCTCAGCAAAACTTATCAGTTTCAAAAGGCTGTAAAAGAAAAAGAAAAAAAAGAGGCTTTGGAGATGAAAGTCGGAGTACTTTCAGAGTTTATTCCTTCAAAAAAGAATAAACCCAAATGTTTGCTTGCAGCGACTGCTTTTGAAAAAGTTTATACCAACTTTTTTTTTTTTTTCCCATAGCGCTAAGTCTGCCTTCTTAATAACAACAACAAAAAATCACCTCACAGGTTCCTTGGAAACAACTGGGTGTCAAATTTCCCATTACAGAAGATGCCAGCAACTTTTTATTGGTGTCATGAGCTTGTTTTGAGGCTTTCGTAAAACCTATTCGTGGAGCGGTGGGAATGAGGATCAGCACCTCCAAATCTGAGGCCATGGTCTTCAGCCGGAAAAGGGTGGAGTGCCCACTCCGGGTCAGGGACGAGTTCCTGCCCCAAGTGGAGGAGTTTAAGTATCTCAGGGTTTTGTTCGCGAGTGACTAGGAGAAGAGAGCAGGAGATCGGCAGACGGATTGGTGCAGCGGCCACAGCGATGCGGACGCTGTACCGCTCTGTTGTGGTGAAGAGAGAGCTGAGTGTAAAAGCGAAGCTCTCAATTTACCGGTCGATCTACATCCCTACGCTAACCTATGGTCACGAGCTTTGGGTAGTGACCGAAAGAACGAGATCGCAGATACAAGCGGCGGAAATGCCATTCGGGAGGGGCTCAGAGTAAAGCCGCTGCTCTTCCACATCGAAAGGAGCCAGTTGAGGTGGTTCGGGCATCTGACAAGGATGCCCCCTGGGCGCCTCCTGGGTGAGGTGTTCCGGGCATGTCCCACCAGGAGGAGGCCCCGGGGCAGACCCAGGACACGCTAGAGAGATTATATCTCTCGGCTGGCCTGGGAACGCCTTGGTGTTCCCCCGGACAATCTGGAGGAGGTGGCTGGGGAGAGGGAGGTCTGCTAAAAATTACAATGGAGGTGATTGCAGTCTTTGGCTGCTCGTAGTTTGGGCTCATGAAGCTCTTAAATGTTGAATTCAGGAGCCTCATTCTGTCCTTTTAATCAGTCAGTTAAACCAAAAAACTCTGATACTTATCTGACTATTCAAAAGGCTTCCTGCCATCGTGTCAGTTGCAGGTTATGCCCAAAGAAAGATACAAACTCTCCTCTTTTCCAGTTTGGTCTTAATAGCTATGTGGAGAACATAAACAAATTAGGACGAGTGGCATCACATCATAAATGGAAGCGGTGGGTGGTTTGATATTTTCAGACACACACTCCACCTGATTGCCAGATGAGGACGGGCAAAGCAGACCATTTGGGTGCCACTTGAGGTGGCATTTGGACAGATGACAATGGGGCTCTTGAAAGGGGAAGGTTAACTGAGTGATATAAACACACTGGACTCTGATGGTGAACTATATCAGTATTTTTGTATTCTCAATGGATCAAATGACTAGATTTATTTTAAAGGGATGTCTCATAATAACAAGCACACAAACAATGATCACCCTGAGCTCTGCAGGGCATTTTGCTGTCTTTTAACTTTTTTGTTGTTTTTAAGCCCTCCGGCTACAGTGTACGCGAACAGCCTATGGGCTCATGGTGTCCTGGATGTCACAAAGATTAAAGCTTTACAAAAGAATCACTCTCGGTCTGACGAAGATTCAGTGTGGACATTAAGTCTACAATAAAAAAATGTTTCATAGCTGCCAATAAGACCATTTATTAAGAATTTACCCATGCCAACATGTCTACATTAGATTTACCATAGCTCATTAGCTAGCTACAAGATAGCAGATCATTATGGGCCAACTAGCTCAACTTTATCAGTGCTCCAAATGTCATTGTTTATTTTTTAGTTTCCTGTTTATGATTCCAAAGTTATACAATGCTGTATGTGTTTTTTTTTCTATAAATAAGTCAGAACAGCATGCATAGTTAGATATAAACAATCAAACCTTTGATGATCTCCAACTTTGCTAAAGTTTGCTGAGGTTGTTAACAGCTGGGAGAATAGTTACACTGATTGTTTTATTGAAGCTGAGATAAATTGGATTCCTTTTCACTGTCAGTGGTGCCTCAGCATGTGTTCATTCTTGTGAACCGAAGGAGCATTTGGACCTGGAAATCATGAATAAAATCAGATGTAACAAGAAGATAGAATGGGCTAAACATTATGTAAGAGTTCTCTAAGTTTGCGAAATCCAGTCCAGCTCACTGGACCCAAACTCAAAAGCTGTGCTGCTTTATAAAGACCGAAGCAATTAGTTTATTTCACAATTTAAGCACAAAACATAGGACATTTTGATGAAATTGGCTTTAAAATGTGCATTTCGAACATCAGTAAATCAGTTTGTGCACGTGATTTAGTTCCCACCACCTGAGTTCCCATCTCTCAATGTAGTCTTGCCACTGAGAGCACCTTTTTTTTTTTACGCTAAAACCCAGTTTCTGCTGGTACAATGCATTTGTGAATGTGGCCCATGGAGCGAACAGGTGGCTATAAAGCAAGAATCCATGTAGCCACTGCAAGCTGCTTTGCAACCCACTTCTGTTTCAGATTTAATCAATGTCAAGTCTGTTGGCATTGTTGCCTTCTCCCTTCTATGTTGTTCTCTAAAACTTGGACTTTTTGTGCACATGGAAGGATGGGGAAGTCCCAGAACTGAGTCGCATTGCCAAATATAAATTGCTGCAGAAGAAATAACAATGTTCTTTGACTGAAGCGATCATGACTGGATTCTAATCTTGAGAACAATTTGTAACATAACTTTTTCCTTTTTTTAGACCCATATGTGAAAATCCACCTGATGCAAAATGGTAAGAGGCTGAAGAAGAAGAAGACGACAATCAAGAAGAACACCCTCAACCCTTACTATAACGAGTCCTTTAGCTTTGAAGTCCCATTTGAACAAATCCAGGTACATTTTTCATCTGTTTGCAAAACATTCATAAAACTCTGAAATCATGTTTTCTACGGGGCAGAGTGCTATATCATTGGGTAAAACTGAACTATAAAAACCAGCAGCAAACATTTGGTTGCATATAAGCCATTGTTAAGTGGGAGCTCATTTACCAAATGATCAGTTTAGAGGCTTTTCATCATAACAGAATAATGAGAGGCGCTTCACTTAAAATCAGCTGGGTTTTGCAATTTGACAAGCCAATTGCTCTACGGATGTGATTGTCTGCACTTTGTTCTTGCCCGTAGCATGGATCTTGGTGCTGTTTGTAGCATATATCACAATGATTAGCATTCATCAGCATCATTATTTACATTTAACCAAGTATGCTGCAATAATTAGAGCAATAGAAAAATAGATGCTGTAGCTGTGATTCGAGAAGAAAAGGAAGCACAGATGCTTTTCCAGGACATTATGGGGGAAAAAAGGATAAAGGATACATAACCTGTGCCAGAAAGGGATAGCAACAAACAAGATTATCTCTTCAGGCAATACAGTAATTAAGTCAAATTGATTAAGGCTGCCACATTTCAAAAATCACAGGTTTGGTACAGCGTGCCTCAGATTTAATTTAAACACCGCTGATCCCAATCAACCCCATCCAAACATGGCCTTATTTAGTGTTGCTCATGCCAGTATGTTGGCTAAATTTACATTTCTCATCTCATCAACAAGAACCAGGTTGATTATTAAATAATTGGTCAAATGCAAAAATTGTCATTGATTAGATTTATTGAGCAGTAAAAGCAATACGAGAATTAAACACACTTAAAAGACTTAATTCGATCGTAGAAAAACAGTTAAAGTCCAGCTACCTAAGAGCTAAATGCTAAATTAAAGAAGCCTGTCATCACTGACAGCTCTTTAGGCCTCTGGCTGTATTGCATCTGATTTGAAATGAAGACACTCAGAACTGGGAAGACTCTTAATTAGACACGTTCTGTTTCCACCAGTAGAGTTTAATTTGCTAATCAAGTTCTCAAGCACAATTCTTAAATTACACAGACATATAGAAGTCTGCAGAGGCAAAGCGTTGGCTTTGAAGCCAACCTGACCCAGGGACTTTCTAAGTAAATAATCGAAAGATTTTAATTGTCTCAGAGATTGCGTGGGAATTACAAGCAGTGCTTTAATTGGACTATCTTGTAACAAAAACAGAAGGTTAGTTATTGACTCGTGTTATTTCGCAGTGTCCTTAGCCCACACGCAATTAGCTGTGCAGACACCATTTGAGATGTACACATGCTCTCCTTATAGTCCGTGAGCCCATTTGACATCAAACTCTAGCTTGTTTGCAAATTAAGTGCAGTTTTTTTAACCTTTCTATATTTGACTTGAGCATAGAACTGAACAAATAGGGGAAAAAACAGTCACTTATGTGCTTGTGTTAAACTGAAAAAAAAAAAACGTATAAAAATATATTTCAAATTCTGGCCTCTGAACAGCTGGAGATGGTAAAGTGAATTAAAAGACAAATACATGTTATAAATGTTCATGACATTATTTTTTTTTCTTGTATTTAATCTTCATATTTCATTCCATGAAAGCTATTAAGCTTGTTTCGAAAACTGCTGAGCTGTTGTTTAAATGGTGTCACTAATATGATTATTATTGGCAAATCAGTCACAGCAAGAAAAAACAGTACTTGCTGGTCAGTGATGAATAACACGAAGGTCTGCTAATTTTCCTTTAAAGAAAGCCGTGTTTGAATGACCAATTTAAAGCTGAAGTGTCCCTTTAAAAACCCACTAACCCCAACTGGCCATCTGGGAGCCTTATTCAGTATTTCATTACATGGCGTATTAGGCATGCTCTTTTAGAACAGCGACTCAGAGCTCATGCAGGTGGCGGTAGTTCCATCTCAGTCTGCCAGTGGATCGAAACTTAATCAGGACGCTTTGTGCACTAATTCATATTCTCTGCCAGAGATTGACGCCCGGGTCACTCCTCTTTGCAGCGTCCCTTTGAATAAACACACAGTGAAGCTGAGTCTCAGACCTCTGAGTAATCACACATTTTGCTGTGCTTGGCGCTGAATATAAGCCAAGCTTGATCGGGAGTGTTTGTTACTGTTAATCAACACTAATGTCTCAAGGAGCACCTCATTCCCTGCACTATACCATTTAGAGAAATAATGAGGAACTGTTGGCGCTTAATACTCTAATACGTGCATTACATATCCACCCTACCACAAAGAACAAGAAACACCTACTGTATCAGAAGTCCAATATGTAAAGTACTGCTCAAAAACACAAATCACAAGAGAAAACCTCACAGAGATGATCATGTCAGTAAAGAAGCATCAAAACCTTTGTCTCTGATCATAACACATTATATGACATGTAATTGTCTTTCTTCAGATTGTATTGGGTGTTTTTGAAGCTAGGACTAGAGCTAAAAGTTATTAGAAAATGAATGTGAATCAATTTTTGAAACAAATAAAAAGCACAGAATTAAAAACTGACCTTTAAATCGTGTTTGCCTAATAAGACTCGGGCCTTTCAATTCTACAACAAAACCATAGACTGTATATGAAAAATGGCAGCAGCACTCCACAACAGCTACTAAAGCCCCACCTTCTTTTAATGACCTGTTGTTATCCTCTTTTAAGAATCACTTAATCACTAAATTAGACTTAGACATAACAACTAGGGATGGGTATTGATAAGATTTTCACGATTCCGATTCCATTTTCGATTCTGTTTAATGATTCGATTCTTTATCAATTCTCTTATAGATTCTTTTTAAAAAAGGAGAACACTAAGGTCGATTAGCTTAGAACTTCGTTTTATATCTTCTCTTTGAGCAAGATAGAAATTTAGGAGTAACATGGCCTTACAAACCCAGCAGTGAGATCTTAAGAGATCCAGCCTATGGCTCTTCAATGGGGTGCCACAGGGTCCCCAGGGAAAAAAATTGTAAATGTAAAATTATAAAATAAATATTCTTCTGTAGCAATAACAAAGTATAACATAAATTATTCTGTAGCAATTACACAAGAATATCCAGTAATGTCCCTGCCTACAATTAAACACATTCACTTACCAAAGTGAAATCGGGGGCATCTGCTGTGGCAAATGGGTGCAAGCCTTTTACCACAAACTTAGTCACTGCTCGGTGACATTCGTCTATCCTGGCCTGAAAGGAGACGCTACCGGTAGACTGCAGCGAGAACTGCCAGCATCTGAGCCAGCCAGACTCTGTCTGTCTCATCATGATCACCTAAATGCACAGTAATGGCAGGTTTTGTAACAAGGCAGCTAACATCATATGCACTGTTAGTTGATTATTTACCTGCTGCATTAACGGGAGAGGACGTGCAAACGTTACCGCTGCTGCTGGGTTGAGATTCACGAGTCCAGAGCGAAATTAAAAACACGACATTCATTTAAGGTCATCGCGTGTTTTGTGAACAAATGCTTTTGCATATTCGTAGTGTTTCCTCCCTTAAATGAAATATCTACTTTGCAAGTATTGCAAGTTGCCCTGTTGTCATCCGTTCTCGTAAAGTCTAATCAAACTTTTGAGCGTTTGAGCCGCCATGTTTCCTGCCAGGTAAATGACGCTCCGCAACGTGGTGACATCATTCGGGGCGACTGGAATCGATAAGGGAATCGTTTGCAAAAATGGCAAACAATTCCAAGGAATTGAAACAGTGGGAACCGGTTCTCAACAAGAACTGTTTTGGGGCGATCGTGGCTCAAGAGTTGGGAGTTCGCCTCGTAATCGGAAGGTTGCCGGTTCGAGCCCCGGCTTGGACAGTCTCGGTCGTTGTGTCCTTGGGCAAGACACTTCACCCATTGCCTACTGGTGGTGGTCAGAGGGCCCGGTGGCGCCAGTGTCCGGCAGCCTCGCCTCTGTCAGTGCGCCCCAGGGTGGCTGTGGCTACAATGTAGCTTGCCATCACCAGTGTGTGAATGTGTGTGTGAATGGGTGGATGACTGGATATGTAAAGCGCTTTGGGGTCCTTAGGGACTAGTAAAGCGCTATATAAATACAGGCCATTTACCATTTACCATTTTACCCATCCCTAATAGCAACTGAGTCCAGGATAGAAATCATGCATAGAAGACAGAATGATGAGAAGGTAAAACTGGAGGGTTGCTGGTCAGTGATAATGACTCATTAGCTTGTTTAACAAGGTATAGATCTAATGAATGTTAATTTTGGCTAACAAAAACAGACTTTAAAAAAAGACATTAATTGAAGTAAACATTAGTAGATGGAGTTTACACTCTTTTTTTGTCTCCTTCTTTCCTCCTCTCTTTCCCCCTCTACAGAAAGTGCAAGTTGTTATAACTGTTCTGGACTATGACAAGATCGGCAAGAACGATGCCATCGGCAAGGTCTTTGTGGGCCTCAACAGCTCGGGGACGGAGCTGCGCCACTGGTCCGACATGCTGGCCAACCCCAGGAGACCCATCGCCCAGTGGCACGTGCTGAAGCCTGAGGAGGAGGTGGATGCTCAGCTCTCCGTCAAGAAATAGGCAGGGCTCTTTCAGTACCTGCCTTGTAGTACTCTTTAGCCAGTATGTGTAAATACCTCAGTGATATATGGGTCCATCCATGTAACTCCCTGTCCCACTTTACCCCCTCCCCCACCCGTCGACCTCTCCCAGATTCATCACTCCTAAGTTCACACACAGTCCTAATTGTTGAAGTGTCCTGCAACATCTGTTCTCTGCTTTTTTCTATCAGGTTCTCGCTTTGATTCAGCAGTTTTTGATTTCCATCTCCAAGCCCTTAACCGCCCAGACCAAATGCCCCCTTCTTTTAAGCAATATGATCTGTATAGATAGCGCATGACTGAAAGAATTTATTGTACCACAGTTGTATATATAAGTATGCAGACATAAATGATTTCTAGTTTATGTGTTTGTATGTTGTTACCCGTTTCCTAATCTGTGTATATCTTGATGTTTTTAATAAGATGTTCTATTTTAAATTATGTAAATGCAGATATAGAGGAAAGCCAATATTATATATCCCAGGATTTAAAAATTCTACCTTATTACCTTATTGCATTCCAGAAAAAAAAGAATTCCAACCTGCAAGACGCTAGTGGAAATATATTCACATTGTAAAGGACTTTAAGTTCAGCAAAGGATCGTTACAGAAAAGACAAACGGATGAATATATCCACACAAAACTCCAAAATACAAGGCCATTAACTACTATGGTTCTGTAGGATAAATTATGCTGCTGGAAATTATACAAGCACATGATTTCTTATGACTTTTTGTACCTATTTCTCAATCCGAGGACCTACATGTTTTAGCTTGAGGCACACTTGTTACCACTTAGCATTTCATTTTTTCCTTGTTTGGCAGTTCCATCTGAAATAGGTCCTCAAGTTAAAGGTTAGTTTTCTTTTCCAACAATGGAAGTGATTGCCTCCAAGAAACACCCCTTTAGAAACAACCCCCATGTGGAAAAAGCACCAAGCTGTAGCCATTGTGTCCTTAAACTCGTTCTAACAATATTTTGTTAACTGCTTACTTTAAACAGCCTTGTCGTTGCTGGAGGTGTATCGCGTTTAGGCTGGGGTCCGGCATTTGTGAGGGAGTTTAAAAGAAAAAAGGGGGGGTGGGTGGGGGTTGCACTCTGGGCTCTGGTTTTAAGAGGACTATTTTTTAGATTAATTCAGCGTCTTGACTATTTTTAGTAAAGTGCATGTTTTTTTTTACAATCTTTACTAAACGCTGGGACGGGAGGGAGGGGGGATCTACTGACACCAGGGGAGACTCTTCTGATAGGATCCCCTTGCCTTCAATCAGAGGAGAGAACAAAAAAAAAAGAAATCAAGAGTAATGTTTAAACTTTGTGTCAATGTGACATTGACAGAGGTGAAGCGAGTTTAGTCTAAACACTGCCATTTACGGGGAGGTGACTTTCTGTAGAGACCCTCTCTTCATGCACACTCCCACTTGCTAGTGGTTGTAGCTTTGGTTTATTGGGAACAATGTCTTTGGCTGCAGTGGTGCCCTGAATCGCAGTCTTTGCTTTGCGTTGCCTTCTCACAGTGACAATAGAGCTAGCCATGTTTTACTGCCAATTTTAACTTTTATGTGGCTGCTATTTTGCACTGGATGAACTAGCTTGTTGACTTCTTTAGAAACCATTTTTGGATGATTGTTGGCCGGCTTTATTTCAGGACACCTACAGGAGGGGAGGGGCAGGGGGCGGAGCCAGAGAGCCTCCTGCTTGATTGGATTAATTAAATCCAAAAAACAACAACAAGAAAAAAAAAACAGGAAAAAAAGAAAGAAAGCAATGATGACAAATCACATTTCAGCCAACAGCAATTACATCAGTTTTGTTTTCTTGTTGGCACAGGACTACACCAGGGGAGCACGAAATAACCGTAAAAGTTAATGGTCTGCGTAGGCTATTAGTTCATTATGTCCTTTACTACGGGTCCAATTAGGAAAGGAGTAAGTTGTAATCCATGAAAACCATGAAGTCTCTTATCTTGGAGGAACCTCTTGCATATACTCGATACACAGCTTCAGGAGGACTTTCTAAATGTTTTCAATGTTATTGTGTAGTTGATAGCACTATTATGAAAAAGCTACTTGTCATTCCATAGGAGTCTTCTGAGGACTGCTTTGTGTATCACTGTGACTGCCGTGTGTGCTTAGAGATGTAGACTTATCAGTAGGTAGCGAATCCAGTCTGTTCTGTAGTGATGTCGTAGCGTTTAATGCCATTTTTTCCTTCTACACGCAAAGAGAGGACGAGAGAGAGAGAGAGAGCGTGACTGCACGCAGCCAAAAAAAAAAAAAGAAAAAAAAAAGGAGGAGGCTTTTATCCGAGCGAGAGCGGGTTGCTTCACACAGCATTTTGTTGAGCACTGTGCAATACTTGTATGTTCATCCCATAGTGTTAACGTGGGTGGCGTTGCCCGAGAAAAGAGATTATAACCCTTCGAGGATGAATCCAGTCCAGAGAGATGTTTTCTCCTTTCCAGTGAAATGGTTAGGACACAGCACACTTAGATTCAGCTTATAGTTTGGAGCTTGACACCTGCTGACCTCTGTTTAGGGTTCCCTCCCTTTTCCGCAGGTTCATTTTCTCTTCTTGCACACAGTTCCAGCATCAGAAGTTTCAGGGAGTCTTCGTTAAATACCAAACAAGATTCTGCATTTAGATACCCCCTTAAAAATGCCATGTATATATTTACATAATCGTGTCAAAGAAAATGTATATCTAGAATAAATATAAAGTGACCTGAATGATTATTCAGCTGCAAAATATCGCTCTTTTATCCAGATGCTATATCTCATCATCGTTAATCCATTTTCATTAGAGTTATTTTATTTATGTATTTTTATTTATTTATGTATTTATCTCCCCTGTTGATTCAAAACCCCTTTTCTATTTGAGATGAAAACTCTGAATGTACAGTGAGGACCGTGTTGCTGTAGATTACTTTAATTAATTAGATGTACCTTGCACTTGTTGTTGTTTAAAAGAACATATTTTTAATATTTTTTCAGCTATTATGGATTCATTTCATAATCCTATGGGGTAAAAACAATCAAACAACCTCCCCTGTGATAGCATTCCAATATCACTGAGCATACTTTAATACAGCTGTATTCCCAATCCCTCTTCAGCTGGGGGAACTTTTATTTGACATGTTTTCCATATATAGATCCATGAATTCCAGTACAGCTTCAGATTTAAATAACAGAAAAATATATTAAAGTAAAAGGTGCACTCTTTGCAAAAATGGCCCAAGCAATTTGACATGAATACTAATGCAGAGAGGTTGCACCAAAGGAATTATCCAATCAAAGCTGAGAGTAAATCAAACCGAATTATATGAAAATATCACAAGTGCACGAACGTATCAGGGAATTCAGTAAATGGGCAGCATTGCAAAACCCATCGGATTGTGAGGCGTGTGGAGGAAACTACAAAGCAAAAGCCATTACCTGCGCTGCAGCGCAATGCTCCTGTTACTGCGATTCCCCACCAAAAAAAAGTGCGCACGCGTAATCACCCCCCACACCCTAAATTCAAGCTCTCTTCTGTATGACAAGGAACTGAAGAATCTCTCCAGTGACACCGACAAAAAGCCACACTGACCTTTCAAAAACAAAGCTGTGTAAAGTATTAGAATCTGATGCTGTAGAAAGATCCTAGTTGCCTTTGTGTATATCAACTGCCTGCTTGAGTATTTTGTGTGTGGAAATTTTCTCTGTAATCTTGTAGAACTGTTCGGGGTGTTTTTTTCCTGCCATATCGCTCGCAGTGACGGCGAGCCTGCTGACGGTTATATTTGCTGTGTATACCTTCATTTTTTGATGAGGTGTTTTCCAGTTTTGTTTCACTTTGTGTAGTGATTCACTCTGTGGAGTTTTCTGACTGTTGTTATATAACTTCATATACACAAATGATCAATAAAAATGTTTTATTTCCTGTTGATACAGAAGCCTTTCATGTCGTGTTTTCGTTCGGGATGCATGCAACGGAGCAAAACTGTCACGGTATTGATTGCCACGAGTGTGACTCACTGCTCATGCAAGAAACTGTTCACTTCAGAAAGAAAGGCGTCTGCATGCTTGACGTGCATGACAAATTCCTATTTTAATGATGGCACTTTGAATCAGACACAGCAGCCTGTTAAAAAGGTCACTACTGCCATCTGAAGGACACGCAGGGGAACACCACTGTGTACCAGATGTAAAAAAAACTAATAAGAAAAGATTCTTTCTTTCTTTCTTTCTTTCTTTCTTTCTTTCTTTCTTTCTTTCTTTCTTTCTTTCTTTCTTTCTTTCTTTCTTTCTTTCATTTTGCCTCAGGTACAGATCAATTTCTATTAGTGAATATTTACTTATGTGCAGCAGAGCCACATAATGGGGACAAGAGTTTGTCCTCCACTAAAATATGATGTCACATTGATGTGATGCTCGGATGGTAATGAATGCTGGGGAGCGGAGATTTATAGATCTCAGGCTACTGCTGATGCTGTAAAATAAAGCTCATTTGGATGTTGAGAGTAAAACATGTCCCATGAAATTTTTACTGTAGCACGGTGCTGTCATTTTAAATTGAATTCTTTTAACCTGCCTTTTAAGTCACTGAAATATGTGACTGCAATAATCTGCATCATCTGGCAGATTATTGCAGCTTTTTATTGAAACCGTGTCACACTGAGTGAAATAGTCAAGCCCAAACACTCTCACTAGTTTTGGGGTTGTATTATTCGATTAAATATATTATTACCTTTAATTTTCCTCCCTGTGTGTAAAAGCAATTGCTCCCTAACCCTAAAAACTAGTTGCACCATCCTTGGCAGAAAGAACTGCAATCAAGTGTTTGTGATAACTGGCAATGAGTCTTTCAGATCACTGAGGAGGAATTTTGGTCCACTCTTCTCTGCAGAATTGTTTTAATTCAATCACGGATGGTTTTCCAGCCTCTGAGACATTCAGAGGTCGACTTGCTGGTGTTTTTCAAATTGTTGTCCTGCTGCATAACCAAAGTGTGTTTCAGCTTGAGGACACAAACTGATGGTCGGAAATTCTCCTTCAGGATTTTCTGGTAGAGATCAAAATTCATGGTTTCATCAATTACAGCATCGAAGCAGCCCCAGACCATCACACTACCACCGCCATGTCTGACTGTTGCTGTGATGTTCTTCTGTGTTAGTTTTAGAGCAGATGTAACAGGACTCAGACCTTTCAAAAAGTTCAGTTTTCTCATCAGTCCACAGAATATTTTTCCAAAAGTCTCCCAGATCATCAAGATGGTTTTTTTTTTTTGGCAACTATGAGATGAGCCTTTATGTACCGTTTGATCAGCAGTGGTTTTCGTCTTGGAACTCTCCCATGGATGCCATTTTTTTCTGTTTTATTGTTGAATCATGGACTCCGACCTTAACTGAGACAAGTGAGACCTGCAGTTCTGTAATGTTGTTCTGGGGTCTTTTGTGAGCTCTTGGAGTAATTTGGGGAAGGTTCACCACTGTTCTGAGTTTTGCTTTTTGTCTATAACAGCTCTCACCGTGGTTCACTGGAGTCCCAAAACCTTAGAAATGTCTTTGTTTCTCAACTGTTTTTAGATTGTGACAGGATGTGTTTTGGTGTCATGTAGTCTGTTTCACTTTTTCACACAGGTTTTATTTAAAATATTTGTTGATTCAACAGGTCTGGCAGTAATCAGGCCTGAGTGTGGCTAGTGAAATTAAATTCAGTTTTCCAAAAGCTGTGGATAATCACAGTCTCTTCATGATTCAACAAGAGGGGCAATTACTTTTTCACACAGGGCCAGGTAGGTTTAGAAGCTTTGTTTCCCTCAATAAATGAAATAAAAAATTACATTTTGTATTCCCTCTGGGTATCTTTCTCTAACATAAAAAAATTGGTTAATGATTTCAAACATATAAGAATTACAAATATGCAAAAAAAGGGGGGTGGGGGGTAATAGAAAATTCCTTTTTCACAGCACTGTAAAGCTTGTTATGCTTGTAAATAATGCTTAAGCGTAACATTATTCATGTTCATGGCTCTACTTAAAATCAGTTAGTTAAAATCATCATCAACCATCATCATATCTGCAATTTTACTGCATCATATAGAAATTTCTTAATCCATCCTAATATTGGCTGATTTTTGTGTGCCTGAAGTGGGGCAACACATGGAAAGATTAGTGTTTGTAGGATGCATGTTTGACCTCAAAGCAGCAGCTCACTATAAGATTAAGTCAAGTGTGACGGCTACAGAAGGAAATAAACAGATGCACAATACAGATAAGCACCTGATATAACTGTATTACATGAAACGTGAACAACAGAAAAAGAGGAAGTGAGATCTACATAGCAGAGTTATGAAAGTTTTGTATTCTGCTTTCGGTTTTTTTTTTTATTTAGTTAAGTTTAACCAGTTTCACTAGGTTTGGGTTAATATCCATTTTGCATACATAAACTAGGATAATAATAAAGTCGTCATTTGTGTTTCTGTGTTTAACTAATCAATTTAGTTAAACTCATTTTGCTGCCGTATGACCAAAAGCCACACTTTTTAATTCTGATTAGTCTCCTTCGGATGCTATTATCTTGTTTTGTGTTTTGTTTTGTTCTCTTCTAGCTTCTCTTTTTGCTTAGAAAAATTGTGCGCAGTTTAATACTTTATCATTATTATCGTTTCAGCGTTTTATTGTGAAAATACATGTCTTTTACGTGGAAGTGACGTTTGAGGTTCGGCTTTGATAAGTTAGTGAACGTTAGCCTGTTGTATTACCGGAAGCTGAGTGTTTACATGCTTACTGTACGTTTATTCAGTCCAAATCTCGACGAAATTGACATAAAACAGCTTCAAATACACATAGAAGCGCACCAAAATATTAATATCCACCATTCATTTTATAATTAGCCTACTGGGTTTAATTTTCATATAAACGGAATTTTGTTTTTGAAAACTAAAACCGGATGTATTTATCCTTCCTGGCTGACTCGACAGCCTTACTTGACGGCTTGGACCTCCGTCACAATTAGTTGCCTTGAAGTCGTTTGGGGTGTGCGCGCTATACTGACAAAGTATTTTGCATTTGTCCTCCCGGCCTGAAAATGCTCTCCTACATCATTGGCGTGAGTATACATCAATGGAAAATTATCAGGGTGCTTTTACGCCAGCTAATTTGCATGCATTAGCTCGGTTAATATTCGCTAACATTCAGTTTTTCCCCAGCTAAGTTATCCTGAGCGCTGTTTCGGGCCTGCCCACAGGAATCTTCATGACTCACTTCTCCCTGTTGCTGTCTGTGTTAAACAAAAAAACAAAAACCCGACTTAATCCAGGCAACGCCCCGCAGGGTACTCAGACAGCTGGTAGCTAATGCTAGGAGTTGGTGGTCTGAGTCATTCTCCCACGTTTGACCTTTTATCGCAGTTGATCCGAGGTGGCTTTGACAGCATCATCAACCTAATCTTCAGGCTGCTCTTCCAAAAGAAGAGACCTGCCATCACCTTAGAGGACCCCAACATTAAGTATGCACTGCGCCTGATAGATAAAGAGGTAACCGCTCAAACGCTGCACACTTGAGTGCTTGCAGAATGAAACTTGTCTGCAAACGCAGCAGATGCGTTCACGCTCACTGCTCTGTCTGTTTCTTGTTTTTTTTTTTTAAAGATTGTCAGCCATGACACAAGAAAGTTCCGCTTTGCACTGCCATCCCCTGAACACGTCCTTGGTCTCCCTATTGGTAAGTGTGCGCACTCACGCATATCATCACTGCCGGAGGTTTGACTGCATATCTCAAAATCTGTTCTAGCTCCTTTCCTTCTCTGTTTAAGCTAGTTTTCTTCTGATTGGCCACCCCTGGTTAACAGACGGTTTAAACAGCTGATGTAGTGCCTATTTGGAGATAGGGAATGGCAATGCATTCTGCGTAGTTCATGCCAAACCGAAACGAAGTTAGATGCCAGCAGGTGATAAGGAGGAAGACACCTAAACCTGTGATACAAACTGAATGTAAACGAAAAGGCAAAGCAGTGTTATTAGGAGGGGCTGATATGTGAGCACAAACTGTCACTTTATTTTTAGGAGGTACAGTTTCTCAAGTTGCCTAGTGTTTTGTTAAAAAAGCTGTTTGTGGTGAGCGCCTAAACCTCAGACAACTTAAGAATTGTGCATGGCTTCAAGCTCACATTCAGACTTGTTAGACTCGGCCATGCTCTCTCAGCTGCTGAGCCATGGCTCTGTGACACATGCATCACTTACCCTTAACCTTCTTAACCTGGCATCCAATTATGTGGACATCACATTTTGGGTTGTCTAGACCAAAATACTAAATTTTCCTCTACAAGGGCCTGATTTCCACTTACGAGGACATTATACTGCCTCTGTTTATCAAAATTTAAAACGAATGTCTTTATATGTGGCTCTCAATTTTCTTAGAAACAAAAATAGGGTAAAAAAAATTTTTAAAAATCCGGTGATTCTTTGTTTGTACATTCATCGGGTCCCAATATTCCCAAATATCAAAGCGAAATTAGGAATGCATGCCATGGAAGAGTTCAGGTCTTAGGAGGTTAAAGACACTCTATACAATTGATTTGAGTTCATATTTAATACTTTTCTGTAATATTTTCTCTTTTTCAACGTTGTGTTGAACACATTTATAAAGCACACCTTTTTATTTGACATTTATAATTGCGCTGTAATGACAACCCTGCATGCTTTGTTTTGTAGCTGGACTAAACTGTGATGAGAATGTTAAAAATAAGTCGTTCAGATGTGAAGCAGTTTCATGTCTTTTATTACTGCTCAATGTTTTGTTACAGCACTTCATGTTATAGTGCTGCAGCAGGTGCAGGAGCTTGTAGTGCCTTTGTTCTGCATCGATGTCGGTCAGAGGTATCCACGGTAGGGCTGCTCGATTATGGCAAAAATGATAATCACGATTATTTTCACTGAAATTGAGAT